AATAAATGAACGCACGCACGCACGCACGCACAAACGAACGCATCCTGACCTGCAGCTAAAACCACAAAGCCCTGAGTATTTATACAGAGCTGTTTGTTCAGGTGAAGCTAAACTCAGTTCCAGTGACATATCAGACCTGTTTTTCTCTTTGACATTGATCTCGGGAGCATTTCACAATCCACTATAATCATTCCTGAGTAAATTCCTTAATACTGTAGTAAACAAAAGCACTTGCATAATAATGAATGTGCATAAGTGTGAAATCAATTTGGAGGTTTTAAGGTTTGCCTGACATCAAAATTTGCAGTTTATTTTGCTATCGCACATTGGTACATTGGTAAATTAATAGTACAATGTTGATGAAAAGTGCAAATAATACAGAGTCAATTATGTTTAATAATATGCATGTAAAATATTAATTAGATATGGATACAATTAATATACAATATTGATTAAAAGTAAATCATGCAGAGTAAATAATATTTAACAATAACAAATATTATGCATGTATAATATTAAATAGATATGGATCAAATGAAGCAACAATATTGATGGTAAAGCAAATAGAGTAAGTAATATTAAATAATAAATAATATTTACATATAATTTTAATTAAATATGCATACAATTAATTAAAAAATTATTAATACAGAATAAATAATATTAAATAATAAAAATAATATTTATGTATAATATTATTTAGATATGGATAAAATTAAGATACAATATTGATGAAAAAGCAAATAATACAGAGTAAATATTAAATAATAACATAATATTTATGTATGATATTAATTAGATATGGAGAATATTAATGGAAGTTTGGATAAATATTACAGAGTAAATAATAATAAATAATAACAAATATTTATGTACTGTGTTATATTATTTAAATATGGAGAAAATTATGATACAACATTAATGAAAACAGAGTAAGTAAAGTTTAATAGTAACAAATAAGCTGTATAACGTTAATTAGATATGCATAAAATTAAGATACAATATTGATGAAAAAGCAAATAATACTGAATAAATAATATTTTAATATTTATTAAATATGGTTAACATTAAAATATAAAATGCATGAAAAAGTAAAGAAAATAAATAATACTAAATGATTACAAATAATATTTATGTATAATATTAATTAATAATATTTCATAACAGCATATATTATTTATGCATACATTTACTTAGATATGGGTAAAATTAAAGTAGAATATTGATGAAAAAGTAAATGATACAGAGTAAATAATATTAAATAATAACAAATAATATTCATAATTGTATTTAGATATGGAAAAATTAAGATACAATAATGATGAAAAAGCAAATAATACAGATTAAAAAATAATAAATAAATCATATAATAATTGTAAAATAATAAATAATATGCATGTATAACATTAATTTAATATGGATAAAATTAAGATAAAATATTGAATAAAATGTAATTAATACAGAATAAATAATATTAAATATTAAGAAATAATATGCATGTATAATATTATTTAGATATTGATAAAAAGATGAAAAATTAAATAATACAGAGTACATAATATTAAATAATAACAAATAATATTTATGTAACATTTAATTGAATATAGTTAAAATTAAGGTATAATATTGATGAAAACTGCAAATAATACAGAGTAAAATATTTAATGATAATGCATGTATAATATTAGTTAGATATGGATAAATTTAAGATACATTACTGATTAAATGTAAATAATACAGAGTAAATAATCTTAATAACAAATAATATTGTAATATGATAATAATAAGATATAGATAAAGGTAAAATATTGATGAAAAAGCAAATAATACAGAGTAAATAATGCAGAGTAAATAATAACAAATACTATTTATGTAAAATATTAATTAGATATGCATAAAGATACAAAATTGATAAAAAAGCAAATAATACAGAGTAAATATTTAATTATACCATATAACATTTATGTATAATATTAATTAGATATGGAGAATATGGATGAAAATTAGGCTCAATATTACAGAGTAAATAATATTAAATAATAACAAATAATATTTATGTATTGTATAATATTATTTAAATATGGAGAAAATCATGATACAACATTGATGAAAAATAAAGTTTAATAATATCTAATATTATGCATAATTTTAATTAGATATGCATAAAATTAAGATAAAATATTAATGAAAGTAAATAATACAGAGTAAATAATAACATAAATATTATGTAAACTATTAATTAAACATGCATAAAATTGGGATACCATATTGATGAAAAAGCAAATAATACAGAGTAAATAATAAATATTAACCTTTAATATTTATGTATAATATTAATTAAATATGGAGAATGTTGATGAAAAATTAGGCTAAATATTACAGAGCAAATAACATTAAATAGTAACAAATAATATTTATGTACTGTATAATATTGAAAATTGGAGAATACTGGAGAAAATTGTGATAATTGTTAAAAAAAAAGTTTAATAATAACAAATAAAACATATACATATACCGTAGGCGCATGACTCAATAAAACTATATTTCTGAGAAAAGTTTGCCTAGGCAAATGAAGCAAACGAAAGGTAGTGGGAACTTCAATTCCCATCAGCCCAGGCGTGGCCATTATCCTTTGCGGTCTGTTGTTGCTACAGATCCAGTAATGCGGAAATGGAGTGTGTTGCTAGTAGCGGGGAAGAAAAAGAGCTGGAAATGATCGAACCTAAAGCGGGTTTTAAATCGGATGTGTGGAAGCATTTCGGTTTCTTTCTAAAAAGATACGAAAAAGTAGAAAAGGTGACAGACAGAGACAAAAACAATATGCAGGCACTGCCAGACTGTGGGGAAATATAAGTCGGGGAATACAACTAAAAACAGTCATGGGGACTGCAGAACACAGCACACTTGTTAGATTGATGCAGACATTGACTTATACTGTAAAAAGACCTCTATCTCACTCATGGCTTGTCCTCTCAAGTGGTGGAAAGATAATGCACAGCGTTACCCACTGCTGTCAACCTTGGCTAAATCATATCTCTCTGTCCCAGAAACCTCAGTCCCAAATGAGAGGGGTTTTCTGTTGCAGGGGACATTTACCAGATTATAGTTATATGATCATTTTACTTAAAAAACCCATCTCCATCTAAATGAGTGAGTGATTAAATGTTGAATGTGATGAGTTTTCAACAATACTAAATTGAAACTTTATTTTTTTACATGGTTATTTTTTTACAATAGTTTTGGTTATTAAAATTTAAAAATTGAAGTTCCTGTTTCAAAACTTACAGATAGATGGCTGATTTGTATGTCATTGATATGTTCAGTGCTAAGGTAAATAAACACTTTTGGCACTTTTTTCAAGTCTTTTCATTAGTTTTGTTTTTCCTGTAAATTATTCAATAAATACCGTACCGTGCCATTCATACCGAGGTATTACCGTACCGTGAAATTCTGATACCGTTACATCCCTAATATATATATATATATATATATATATATATATATATATATATATATATATATATA